TTTTTTTTTTCAGAACATTGTTGTGAACAATATTTTAAATATTACAAATATATCAAGTTTGCAACTTAACATTTTATATAGACGTGATAAAAATGAATTTATTTTCATATGCAAATGCTTCAATATAGTTTTTTCTTACATTCGCAAGTTGATAGGAATTTATGACATTAAAATTTCACTTTACGGAATTTCCGAGTGGAGCCATTTACGCAACATTTTAAAATGGACACCTTTTATTATTTAGTGACCCTTTATAATATGATCATGAGATACTACTTTATGAGAAGTACAAAAATGTGCGGGTGTTTTTCTTTTTTCATTAATGTTTTGCTTTTGCATAAAATTACATTTTCCAAAAATTTTGCAAAAAAAAGTATTACACCGCGTTTTGAATATGCTACATTTCTTTCTCCTGCTGAATGGTACTGTCGCATTAAGCTAGGCATAGTCTGTCTGACAGAACTACTGGTAGCTATATTTTATAACACTCCAAATAAAAATTCCTGGAAGATTGGTTATAGTACCTCAGCTATCAACAATAGACCCATGAAGCCTGTGGCATAACAAAAATTTTATTAGTAATTTCTGTTCTTGAATCTGGTCCATTCACTTTGGCGATAAATTACAAATATGTTCCTTAGCTTCCTTGATTTTCTAAACTCCCGAAATTTTCTCAGAGCAGTAAAATCAAATTATTATTTTTGTGTCTATGAAAATATTAAAGTAGGAAAAAAGGCGTTTTTTCCCATCATTTCTAATATGCCTAATTTTATCCGATAGTGATGAACAATACCTTCCATAGAATAACCAATTTACACTAAAAAAAATACAGCTTTTTTTGTTCTATAAAAATGGTTTATTTTTTAAGCTAAAGATCAATCTGATTTCATGCGATTCTGTTTATGCGATTCTGATTTATTTTAAGCGATTCTGTTTATGAAGTTGATTATAAAAAGAAAATTTAAGGACCCGGTTTTGAGCACCATTGCCGTATTTATAAAATTTTATATTATCAGAATTTCGTACGAAATTTTTCAAAACTTTTCATTCAAAATTTTAGTTTTTGTAATAATTTCCCATTGATGGTCCCTTCATCAACCGAGAGTAGAATTGAAATGAAAATTATTTTTGTCACAATTAATGACAGTTTCAACTAATTAAAAAAGTTTGTCTTTTTCTCTTTAGCGATTGCTTTGCATTTCTTTATGAACTTTACTTCATAACTTTTCGAAAATCTTTTCTTATAAAACGAACGTTCTAATTTTTAATAATAACTACTTTTTAATAGCAAATAAAAAATAAAAAAATTTGTTCTTCTAGAAAAAATATATAATTAAAAATTATTAAATAAAAAATAATTAATTAAAAAATACTGCTTTCTAATCTTTTAGCAACGCTAAAATGCCGCCACCTTTTCCTTATTTCGCTGAACATTTTATTTTTATTTTTTAATGATTGAAGAGTAACGCTTTAATTTTTTATTCATAGTTTAATAAAATCACTTTTAAGTTATCTTAACTAGTATAAAAAGAATTAATTTAAAAGGCTTGATATTTATTTGAATGTCAAGTTATGTTCTGGCAAAATTCATAAATGATTCTCTATCTAATTGACTATTAATGGTTATTTTACTACCACTTGAGAATATCTGCAATAAAGAGCAAAAAAAAGAAGAAGAAAAAAGCGCAAAACAAATATATATTTAAATATATATTCCGTTCACTTGTGCATGAACAATTAA